ACTATGAATAGATTCAATATTGAAATCAGACAAAAAAGAACAGTATCATCAGCATACATTAAAATATTTGAATACTTCAATATTTTTGGAAGGTCATTTATGTATAATAGGAAAAGCAATGGGCCCAGTATGCTACCCTGCGGAACTCCCACGGAACAGGGCAGAGACCCGGACACAGAGCTTCCATGTTTCACAACTTGACTTATGGGCACTTCGACTGAATCCACACTTCACAGAGTGGCATAGGGTGTAGGGTGTAGGGTGTAGGGTGGCACTGAGCATTGGGACTGGGCCAAAGACTGAGTCTAAGGCTAAAAGAAAGATCTGGCCTTCAAAATAAAAGTGGTAAACTACAACTCAGTCACCGGACCTTTTGTTCATTGTGAAGAATTACAGGAAACTTCCTGTTCGTTAACTTTAAAGGGACAGGAAGTGACTTTCAGAGGAACGGAAATCTGAAATCTTTTCTTCTCCGACACCCGGCAGGACTTCCTCTTGTAAAGATCTGACCTGACAAACATGTCCGCCGCCTCGGTGTACAAACTATAGAAGCAGCAGTTCCAACGTTTCTTTCTGTTCCTCAGGTCTCCAGCTATTAGCCACGGCCAGTCGGGACCGTCTGATCCACGTCCTGGATGCGGGTCGAGACTACAGCCTGGTTCAGACTCTGGACGAGCACTCGTCCTCCATCACCGCCGTCAGATTCGCAGGTCAGTTGACCTCTGACCTCTGTGTGTGCGCACCTTGTTGCTGGTTTGTAATCTGTTGTTTGTGTCTCACAGCCAATGAGGGGAAGGTTCGGATGATCAGCTGCGGCGCAGATAAAAGCGTGTACTTTCGTACAGCTCAGCAGGTAAAACGAACACCTGAGTAACTTTCAAAATAAAAGCTGAACTCTTCATTTGTGGTGGATGTTGTCCGTCCTCAGGTGGGGGAGGGTTTGGAGTTCACCCGGACGCATCACGTCGTCAGGAAGACGACTTTGTACGACATGGACGTGGAGCCAACCAGGAAGTACGCAGCTTTAGGCTGTCAGGACCGAAAAATCAGGTAAATGTTACTTTTTAAAACAGTATTTATTTGTTCAGTTCACGTCTTCATGAGTCAGAGGAGACTTTTGTCCTTCAGGATCTTTAACATCAGTAACGGTAAACAGAAGAAGGTCTACAAAGGCTCTCAGGGTGAGGATGGGACCGTCGTCAAGGTAATTAGTTTGTTGATGCCGTGGTGACGGATCTTTGCATTAGAACAGGTGGTGACTGACACCCCCCCCCCACTTCCTTCAGGTGCAGATCGACCCGTCGGGACTCTACGTGGCCACTTCCTGTTCGGACAAAAACGTCTCCGTGTTTGACTTCTTCTCAGGAGAATGTGTGGCCACCATGTTTGGACACTCAGGTGTGTTGGAGACGTCCTTGTGATGTCATCACCCAGCGCCAAAAGACTGCCTGTTTGTTTGTTTGTTTGTTTGTTTGTTTGTTTGTTTGTTTGTTTGTTTGTTTGTTTGTTTGTTTGTTTGTTTGTTACCTGATACTTATGAAAGAAACAGGAAGTAATTTTTACATGTTGCTCAACAAATGAATAACGCCTGGAGTCTAATTCAAGATGACGTCTTTAGCAAACACAGAGCCAGTTTTACAGATGTTGAGCTAAAACCTGGGGTGGTAGTAGCTGAGAGTCCTCATYAACACAGTCTGACGAGGAACCTGTTTGTTTTATTCTGCTTCCTGTTTGTGTTTCAGAGATCGTGACAGGAATGAAGTTCAGCAGTGACTGCAGACACCTGATCACAGTGTCAGCAGACAGGTATGTCCAACATCTGTCCAACATCTGTCTAAAACCTGTCTAACATCTGTCCAATACCTGTTCAGTACCTGTCCAAAATCTGTCCAATACCTGTTCTGTACCTGTCCAACATCTGTCCACTACCTGTTAAATACCTGTCTAATACCTGTCAAACACCTGTCCAATACCTGTCCAACGTCTGTCCAATACCTGTCCAAAATCTGTCCAAAATATGTCCAATACCTGTCCAACATCTGTCCAATACCTGTCCAAAATCTGTCCAATACCTGTCCAACATCTGTCCAATACCTGTCCAAAATCTGTCCAATACCTGTCCAACATCTGTCCAATACCTGTCCAACACCTGTCCAATACCTGTCCAATACCTGTCGAACACCTATCCTACATCTGTCAAACACCTGTCCAATACCTGCCCAACATCTATCCAACACCTGTCCAACATCTGTCCAACACCTGTCCAACATCTNCTATCCTACATCTGTCAAACACCTGTCCAATACCTGCCCAACATCTATCCAACACCTGTCCAACATCTGTCCAACACCTGTCCAACATCTGGCCAACACCTGTCCAACACCTATCCTACATCTGTCAAACACCTGTCCAATACCTGCCCAACATCTGTCCAATCCCTGTCCAACACCTGTGCAACATCTGTCAAACACCTGTCCAATACCTGCCCAACATCTGTCCAATCCCTGTCCAACACCTGTGCAACATCTGTCAAA